TTGTTATGAATAATAAACAAATCAATATGAAAGATCTTATAAAAATAAATGGAATAAAGAAGATGAAAATAGGGAGAACGAACGATACTAGCAGCGGATTATATAGATATTAGGTGATACTAATGTGGAGGGAACAATGAAAGTTGTTTGAAATAATAAATAAAGGAACCTGGAATTTTAAAAAAAAAGAGAACAAACCAGATGAATATAGAAATAATCAGATATTCTAAGAGTTGAATACATGGATATTAAATCATACTCACATTTTGAACAAAAAAGGAAAATTCTTTGAAATAATAGATAAATCAGTATGAAAGATCTTTAGAAAAAAGAATAAATAAGATGAAGATAGAAATAATCAAGTATACTAGTAGTTTAATATATGGATATTAGGTTATGTTCATATTGGGAAGGAAAATTGAAAATTGTTACGAATAATAAATTAATCAATAGGAAAGATGTTTTGAAAAAAGAAAAAATATAGAAGATGAATATAACAATTATCAAGGATACTAGTAGTTGAATACGTGGATATTTAGTCCCACTTGTACTGTGAACGAAAATTGAAAATTGTTAGGAATAAAAATTAAATCTATAGGAAAGATGCTTTAAAAATAGAGAGAAGAAAGAAAATGAAGATAGAAATAATCATGTATACTTGTAATTGAATACATGGATATTCAGTCGTAGTTATGCAGTGAACAAAAATTGAAAGTTGTTATGAATAATAAATAAATGAATATGAAAGATGGTTTAGAAAAAAAAAGAATAAACCAGATGAATATAGGAATAATGAAGATACTAGCAGCTGAATACAAGGATATTAGATGATACTCATAATGTGAAGGAAAAAATGAAAAGACGTTTAGATAATGTTTACATTAATGGGAAAGATGTGTTGAAAAAAAATAGAATTAAGAACATGAACATGCAGGAATGAAGCACACTGTCAGCCGGATAGATGGAGGTTAACTTAGATGAAGATTGTGAAGAAATTGTGAAAATTGATGGGAAGAATAATTAAATGAATAGTGAAAGATGCTCTGAGGGAGATGAATGTAAGAGCTGACTATTGGAAAAATGAGTGATATGATTAGTTCTATTCATCTATATTCGCGTATGCTAATATTATGAAGAAGAAATGAGTGGGTATGATGAAAGTGACTATGTTTAGGTTTTCTTTTTTACATTAATGCAGTCGAAATGATGACATACACGTAGTTGCTTAACAAAGGATGTGCGAGGTACCTGAAGAGGATTATTTCATTCTAAGATGTGAATGTGGAAGAGATAAGCGTATGTAAATATCAGTTTGGTAATATTGGATTTGGAAAAATATTTTCAGTTGGTTTTTTTGAGAACTCTGATAAGTATCCTGTTGTCAATGAGTCATGTTGCTCTCTATTTGGTATATGAAAGATTGTTTTTTTTTGGACATTTATTAGCATGTTTGTAAGCTCCTTGGAATGATTTTAAATAATGATGATTTGCTGCCTAAAAGTTTCTTCATATTCGAAGAGAGATGTTCGCTTCGGTTTTTCATGAATGTTTTTTAGATTTGAGGTTTTTGCTGTTAAGTAATTTGACTATGTATTGAGAGATTTCACTTGTACAAAAAGAAATAATCTATTTTTCTTACATTGTCGAAAAAAAATATGTGTTCGGTGAAATGAGAATTATAACTGGAAAGATAGAATCAACAACTGTCTGGAAGAACGTTTAAACATAAGATAAGAGGTCAACGTATCATTTTATATAGTAGCTAAATATTAAAATAATAGATGGACGAATTCTATGTGAGCGTTATAAAAGAAGCAATGGTGATTGGGATTATTTAGGAGGTGATCATGATGTTCGAATAGAATAAGCTCATTATGGGAAAACATTGGAATTATTTTGCTATTGGGCTCTTACATATTCTTTCAGAGTAGTTGATTAAAATGAAATGAAAGTGGTGCCTGAAATGTATTCATTATGTATAATTCAGTTGAGTGACTTTTAATTTTTTCGCTTCTCTATAGATATAGTGGTACGTATGCTGTAATGACTAGAGGTGTGAATTTATGGTTATTGTTATCAATAACAATAATAAAACAGTTATTGTTATCAATGGCAAATAACAAAAATAGTTTTCATTATTAAGAACAATTGAATAACAATATTTTCCCACCCCTAGTAATAACTGAAATATGTTTTGAATTTTGTTTTTGAATCTGAAATCAAAATCTTTACTCGGGATGAGAAGTTATTGTTATTCGATTTTTACCAATAGAAATAACGATACATTTTATTTTATTGTTATTAGTAACAAATTAACATCGACAGATACACGATATTGTGTTTGTCTCGGTCCAAAGTTTCATCTCCGCAAAATCACGTTGCCATGAAATTCTTAACAGCCATCCGTCCTATGCCTTTTCACATTCACGAAACATGTTGGAAAAACAATATACGGTTTCCCATTTATGATCCAAATTCTCTTTCTCAAAACTGTGACTCTTGTTTGCTGTTCAAGAATAACAAGAGTAATACTTGCTGTGGCTTTATAGCAGCAATTGTATGCCATTCAAGAGAAAAACATTGTATACTGATAAATCAAATACCAATCAATCATCGAGATTCTCTGATATTGCGGGGGCGATGTATCATAAATCCATTCATTTTTTAGGGCCATTCAACAGATTTTTCACAACTAGGGCTGATACCTCTCGAAAATGTTATAGTAAAACTTGCGTATAAAAAAGACGGTGATTTATTTCACTTTTTTCAGTTTCCTAATACGGTAAAAAGTACCTAAATAAAATAAATATGAAACGCTGTGACGAAAAGAATCTCAATTAGACGCAAAGCTATCTAATCGAAAATTAGTTTTTATGTCTTTTTATGTATTACACAGTAGCGATCTAATTTTACATTCTCTTGAGAATTTGCAGGAATTGAATTAAGTACAAAAACAATTACTTTGTCTTTCTCATTCTTCTGACAAATCTATCCATCAAGCATGCACTAAGCCATATGAAATACTTAACATTCCACGGTATACTGATCGTCTTACTTCTCAAAGAATTCTTCACTGTAATTTTCCAAACAAAATTGCCAATGTTTTAGAACGCAATGACTGCAAATAAATACCTGCATCGAATTTGTTGAAAACAAAAATGAAGGAACTTATACATTGATAGAAAGTCATCTTAGAGAACGACTCAAAATGACTCAAGCATCATATTACAACGTTCACAATTTTAGATGCAGAAAGCAATTTATACTTCCAGTATTAAAATCCAAAAAAGAACTAAACTCGAGTGTTCACATGATACAACTTTCGAGAGGAAGAGCCGTAAAAAACTTTCATCCCAAAAGATGACTAAAAGTAGATGAGATATGATGTTTAAATCGTCGAAATTTTTAAAGGAGAAAACAGTGATAACTTGCAGTGTTTAAATGAATAAAAAATAATGATTTGCAGCGTTTAAACGGTACAACTTTGAGAAGGAACAGACGCAAAAAGTTTTATCTCCTAAGATTAATGAAATTTGGTGAATGATGATATTTAAATGATCAAAATTTTGGGGCTAAAACAGCAAGAGATTTATAAACGTTTAACTGATTATATATTGAGGAAACGAGGCGTTTAAATGAAGAAAATTTAAGGCGAATAAATGCACAAAAATAGTACCCGTGTCAGTTGCTATCTTGCAGCTTGAGTTTGTAATTAAAACGGCTGGAGTTAATAAGAAAATAATGAAAAATATATGTGGAGCAAAAAACGCACAGGATGCTTCGTTTTAAAGGATGAACACGATTACTAAAAACCGCCATAGTTTTCACAATATTAATGCTACAGGAAAACTTCTAAAAATTCGTCTTTCTGACGGCCAGTACCCGTTTTTGACGAAGTGAACGTTTAAACGGTTGGAAAGCTTGCTTTTAAAGCGTGAAAACGTCCAGAAATTCTTGATTACGAAAAAGTGACCGTGCTAACAGAAAAATCTCAGCATTTCTTAGCGTTTTCACGACCACTTTATTTCAAACGCGTGCGGACGCACAGAAAAGTCTGTTTTGCTGCGTTTAAACGCGTTTTTGAAAATTTTTGTCTGCTTGGGTAATTGGAAAGAGCATGATGTTACCAAGAAAGGAAATCCAAAAGCTAATTGATGAAGAAACATTTTCATGGAAAATCATTGAATCAACAGTAACATCAAAGTCTTCAATTGCATGAAATACCTTTAATAGTCATTACATAAACGATATCAAGCAATTTGGGAGTTTCCAATTCACATTTTTTATGAACCCAGAGCCGAGAAAACCCAGAATTTTGGACCAGAATCCGATAGTATATTAAAATTTGAACAAGACCTGGATCCAAAAGAAGCTACAGCTCCCAAAGTATAGGAGCCAGTTGGTTTATTATCAAAATACATTTTTCGATACAGATCCATTTATAATACTATCTAAATCAATTTCAAAACCACATTCAACATAAAATAAGGATAGAATAGATAGTCATTCTTGACGTGTCTAAGTGTAAGACTGAACGTTAATCGATGAAGACAATACTGTAACTTACACTCTTATGATAATGACACTTACGTTACACTGCCGATTTCATCCAACAAAATTGTTTCAGTATTAGTCGCAATTAGGGGTCGGCAGTTACCGTTCCCAGACCGTTACCCGGGAACGGTAACGGTAACGGCTCCTATGAAAGGAGTTACCAGTTACCCGAGTAACTGGTAACGGGACCGTTACCAGTTACTTTTTCCTGGTAACTTTTTAAAAAGACTATATATCACTTCTATTAGACCGAATATTGACACTACACCAGTAAAAAAAATTTGGAGTTACCAGTTACCCTGGTAACTGTTGCCCGTTACCAGTTACCTGGGAACGGGTCAAATTAAAAAATAACGTATGTGCAAAATCCTGTTGATGGGAAGTAATAATTCATCTTTCTAGAGAAGTTACCCGGAAAAAGTAACTGGTAACGGCCCCGTTACCAGTTACCCAGGTGACGGTAACGGTCCCGTTACCGTTACCCGGGAACGGTAACGGTAACTTCCCACCCCTAAACGTGACGATGGTGGATCATGAAATCGATTGTATGTTGTTCGAGGTGAGTATACGTTTGCGGAATAACCTTTAGAATGCATATGTGATGAATTTTGGTAGTGTGCAGTTTCAAATTTTGGTGAAGAGCTATAGAATAAGTTGTTGGAATAGTTTGTTGCTTGTGTATCACTATCATTGGTTTGTTGAAAAGACGTATTAACTAAACAATCTAAATTTTCTTCTTGTCGTGCTTGCTCTAAAAATTCTGCTGGTATGGATGGAGCTCTACGGAAGACTCCTTTCATTAGGGACGGTTTGAGTCCGTGATATAAGTGATCAATTTTGGATGCATCGGTCATGGTTGGATCAACTAATTTGCATAATTTCATAACATCAGTATAATATTCGATAGCAGCTTCATCAGGTCGCTGTTGGCGAGTTCTTAAGCGGTTAGACGCTAATTGTTTCGATGAGGGTGATGAATACGTATGAATAAATTGAGCTTTAAATACACTCCAGGATTCGAATATTGCACTATTGTCGGTAAACCATTGCTTAGAATGTCCTTCCAAAAATGTAGATATTATTTTTAATGCTTGTGCTTCTGTCATATCGGCCATACGAAATGTATCAGTCAAATTTTTCATCCATTCATCAGCATCTTGATCGGGGTTACCAGAAAATTTCGGTG